TCTTCCATGCTGACTCAAAGGGTGAGATTCTTCTTTTTGTACTGCTGCATAGTATTCCAGGGTATAGATGTACCACAGCTTTTTTTATCTGCTCATCTACTGTGATGGGCACTGGGCTATTGTAAATTGTGCTGCTATGAACATTCTTTATGATTGGTATTTTGGGTTTCTTAAGATATATTCCTAGAAGTGGGATGATCACTGGGTCAAATGGCAGTTCCATATTTAATTTGTTGAGGAAACTCCATACTATTTTCTATAATGGCTGCACCAGTCTGCATTCCACCAGCAGTGTACTAGGTTTCCCTTTTCTCCATATCCTCGCCAGCACTTGTCATTTGTTGATTTGTTGATGGTAGCCACATTTGACTATATACTCAGGATTGATTTCTGGGCCCTCAATTCTATTCCAACAGCTTTGATGTTATGTCAGTACTATCCTGTTTTGACTATAGTAGCTTTGTAAAAAGTTTTGGAATCAGGAAGTGTGAGATCTCTAACTTTGTTTTTTTCAAGCTTGTTTTGGCTACTTCCTTGAGAGTGTCCACATAAATTTTAGGATACATTTTTTTCTATTTCTGCAAAAAATATACTATTGGGATTTTAATAAAAACTGTACCAAATCTGTAGATGGCTTTAGGTAGTATCAACATCTTAACTATATTAAGGCTTCCAATCCATAAACATGGGAAGTTTTCTGATTATTTGTTTCTCCTTCTCCTTCTCCTTCTCCTTCTCCTTCTCCTTCTCCTTCTCCTTCTCCTTCTTCCTCTCCTCCTTCTCCTTCTCCTTCTCCTTCTCCTTCTCCTTCTCCTTCTCCTTCTCCTTCTCCTTCTCCTTCTCCTTCTCCTTCTCCTTCTCCTTCTCCTTCTCCTTCTCCTTCTCCTTCTCCTTCTCCTTCTCCTTCTCCTTCTCCTTCTCCTTCTCCTTCTCCTTCTCCTTCTCCTTCTCCTTCTCCTTCTCCTTCTCCTTCTCCTTCTCCTTCTCCTTCTCCTTCTCCTTCTCCTTCTCCTTCTCCTTCTCCTTCTCCTTCTCCTTCTCCTTCTCCTTCTCCTTCTCCTTCTCCTTCTCCTTCTCCTTCTCCTTCTCCTTCTGCCCTTGACAGGAATAGAATCTGAAACCTTTCAGTCTGCAGGCTAATGCTCTATCCACTGAGCCAAATTGGCTAGGGCATTTGTGTCTTCTTTCATTTCTTTCAGCAACATTTTATAGTTTTCTGTGTATGAGTCTTTTGCCCCCTTAGTTAAGCTTATTCCTAAGTATTTTATTCTTTCTGATGATATTGTAAATTGAATTATTTTCTTAATTTCCTGAAACACCCCCCTCCATGCTCCAAGTGGCCCTGCATGACACACAATGAATTACTCATATTTTGTAATAAAGTAAAATATACTAATTTCACAGCATGAAAAAAGTGTTTTGTTTGTTTTGATGTTTTGGTAGGTAATGCAGTCAAATGAATAAATAAAGAGAAAGAGAGAATGTCTGAGTGTGTATTATATTGACTATGTAATATTTCAATATACTTCACTTGTTTGTGCTGGCTCAGTATCTCATAGTTGGAGGAAAAGCTCATTCCCATTCGTGTGACTTACTTTGGCTAACAGACACTAGAAGCATGCAATCAGTGGCTTGATGAGCGCTTGCACATTGTGCTCGTGCTTTCCAAACCCACCTGCCACGCTATAAAGCTGTCCTCCTGCCGAGGGAGGCCGTGTAAAGAGGCCCTGGAGGATGAGGCACCCTGTGAAGAGAGAATCCAGTGTTGTGACCCTGACCCCCATCCTATCAGTTGTGATGATAAATGGACAAGTGCAGCAATCCTTTTGAAAAGGGCATGGAGACCAGAGTTCAGACTCCGGCCTCCGGCACGCAAGGATGGAGATCAGGGTCACACCACAGTGCTCCAACTGAGCTCCCAAGTGAAAGCAGCTGCAGAGTGAGAGGAAAAGCACTTCAAGGCTCACTTTGCAACTGCTTCTGCGGAATGTCAAAACTTCCGGCAATGAGACCAGTGCTGATTTGTTGATATGCCATCATTCCTCAAGGAGACTAATTGGTGACTTGGTGGAAAGTTAACTACATTGGTTTCCATTCTGGAAGGGCAAAGATTTGTTCTAACAGGAATAGACACATATTCCAGGTATGACTTTGCCTCCCTGCTCACAGAGCCTCCTCCAGAACTACTATCTGAAGCTAAAGGAATGTTTGATTCACTGACATGGAATTCTATACAGTACTAGTAGCCTAGTACATGAAATGTGTGCGTGGGGCGGGAGTGTCCCTCAGCCTGGCCTGAACCCTCTCCAATCTGGGACCCCTCGGGGGATGTCACTCTCACAATCCAGGACTGCTGGCTCCTAACCTCTCACCTGCTTGCCTGCCTGATCACCCCAACTGCGCCCCCTGCCGGCCTGCTTGCCCCCAACTGCTGCCCTCTGCCAGCCTGCTCATCCCCAACTGCCCCCCCTGCCGGCCTGCTCATCCCCAATTGCCCCCCACCAGCCTGGTCGCCCCTCACTGCCCCCCCTGCCCGCCTGGTTGCCCCCCATTGCCCCCCCCCCCCCCGCCCTGGATCAGGGTGGGGGTCCCCACTGGGGTGCCTGGCCAGTCTGGGTGAGGGGCTGAGGGCTGCTTTCAGGCTGGCAATTGACTGAAGCTCCCAACCGCTCCTTGTTTTCTTTTTTTTATTCTGGGCCAGCTTTAGCTCTGGCTCTAGCTCTGAGGCTTCCGCTGCTATAATCGAAACAATGTATAACTCTAGCTCTGAGATCCCGGCTGGCTGAAAGCTGGTTTCTGGGGTTTTGTTTAGCTTCTATATTTGCAACATAGTTTCTTAGAGTTGCAACTCAGAGGCCGGCAAGTCAGGCGGGGAACGTTGGAGTCTGCAGTCACTGGAGCAAGCAAGCCTCATGTTCTCTTCCAGCTGCCTGGCTGCCGGCCGCCATCTTGGCTGACAGCTAATTTGCATAAGGATATGCTGATTAGCCAATGGGAAGGGTAGCGGTTGTACGCTAATTACCATGTTTCTCTTTTATTAGTGTAGACTAGAGGCCCATTGCACAAAGATTTGTGCAATAGGCCTTCCTTCCCCTGGCTGCTGGCACCGGTTTTCCTCCAGCACCCGGGACCCAAGCCTTCGCTCTGGCCACCGCCTTCCATCTTCGCTCTGGCTGCAATCTTTGCTCTGGCCAGAGCCTTCGCTGTGGTGGGAGCCTTCAGTCTTCGCTCCAGCCGGAGTGCCACTCTTGTAGCTCCCTCTGCCCCCTGTCCTCCTCCTCATAGCAGGCATCCCACCCCGCTCAGCAGCTCCGTGCCTGCATGTGTGCTTCCCAGAGGTCCAGAGCGGCTGGGGGTGGGGCCGCCGCCACCTTTGTCAGGTTAATTTTCATACTCACTCCTGATTGGCTGGTGGGCATCGCAGAGGTATGGTAAATTTGCATATTTCTCTTTTATTAGTGTAGATTGTGTCAGATCAGTGGGCTCCATGATAATGGTGTTGATTGTATTATATATTACACCACCCAGAAGCTGCAGCCTTGTAGGGCATTGGGATATCTTGAAGAAGGCACATTTAAAACACCAGATTAGAGGCCATACTCTATGAGGATGGGGCACTATCCTCCAGGATGCAGTATTTACATTGAATCAAAGACCTTTTTATAGGGAGCTGTCTTCCCAGTAGGAAGAATATCCTGATCTGTGATCCAAGGAATGAAGCAAGTGTGTTTCACTTACCATCATTCCCAATGACCCACTGGAGGACTCCGTGTTCCTGTCCCTAAAACTCTAGTTTCAGAGATCCTGTAACTGAAAGGGGACACACTTTTGTCAGGGGACACAGCAAGAGTCCCACTGAATTACAAGCTATGCCAGCTGCCTGGGTGCTTTGGATTTCTTATAACCAGGGACCAGCAATAAAAGAGAAGTTATCATCTTGCAGGGGTAATTGTGACCCTGATCATCAGGAGGAAGAAAGATTGCAGTTACATGGAGACAGGAAAGGAGACAGGTGGCACCTGTGATCCACTTGGGCAACTCATGGGACTCTCTTGCTCAGTTGTGATGATAAATGGACAAGTGCAGCAATCCTTTTGAAAAGGGCATGGTGACCAGAGTTCAGACTCCACAAGGATGAGGATCAGGGTCCCACACATAGACCAGCAGAGGTGAGGGGAAACCAGGAACAAATGGTGGAGGAAGGTAATGATGAATATCAGTTGTGATCCTGAGACCAACTGCAGCAACAAAAGTTGCAGTTCATGCTTCTGAACCTTCTTCTTCTATGTTTCCCCCAAGGAAGAGAGGCTCACTGGAATGCTGCAGGAGCTGCTCCCCAAATGTAGATGAAGAAGTAGATTTGAGCAGCACAGTAATGGAGACACTAGAGGTGAATATAAAAATTCCCTTCAATAAAGACTAGTGGCTGCTGGGAATGCTGTAAGCCACAGCCTACAACCCTCAGGTCCTTCAGGGTTTGCCTGCAGAAAGCTGCGTTGGCCAAGGTCATACCCTTCATGATGCAGCTCACTTCCAGTGGCTGTTGGCTACACAGGCATAAAAGCCCAACCATTTTGGCCAAATGTTGGACAACTCTGAAAAATTGTATAAGAACCAGATTTTCCCATAAGATTGGCCAAGGCTTTTTTTGGATATGCAATGTACTTTGACTTCTGCCCAATCTTACTTGCTTCCCATCCCTTCCAGAGGTGTTAAATATATATCCTAATGAATATCCTGCTTGACAAGCTCTCTCAGTGTCTACTTTGAAAGACATAGCTGCAGAATGGAGAACCAAGATGGAGACATAGGTAAATGCCTATACTTGCTGCCTCCCACAACCACATCAAAATTGCAACTAAAATACAGAACAACCATCATTCAGAACCACCTGAAATCTGGCTGAATGAAAGTCCTACAACTAGAGAAGTAAAGATACACTGAGACTGGGCGGGGTGGAGGCATGGAATGGGCTGGTCCAACACCCACATGTGGCGTGTTTTTTTTTAAATCAGAAGCGATAGCGTGGCTGAAGAGGTCTCTCATGAGGAGCAAGGGGTCCCAGCCCCACACCAGACCCCCAGCCCAGGGTTCAGAGCTGGGAAGAGAATTCTGTAACTTTGGCCCGTAAAAACCAGTGGGATTGTGGCTAAGTGATACAGAGGCTGCTGGAATCACAGGTGTTCCTCTTAAAGAGCCGGCACATGAACTTACACAGTCCTGCTTCCTCTGAGCTCCAGCAGAGGGTGGCAGCTTTGGTGGATCCAGGAACAAACTGGGAGGAACTGGATTGTCTGGCATGGGAACAAGAACTTGGGGGTGGCTTTCTCATAGATGGGGGTGCTTGCGGGGGATATTGTTCCTATGCTTGGACCTCTTCTGTCACAGAGCTAACTGGAAGCCATATCTGAGTTCCCATCATAGTGGCCCACACTGTTCACTCCACCCTGGTGATTCCCTGAGACTTTGCTCCATCCAATTTGCAGCTCACCCAAGCTGTTTGCAGCGGCTTTTTCATATGAATGGCTTACCCTGGCTCAAGCTTCAGACTCTTAAAATCTCTCAAACAAGCAGCAGCTGGCATCAGCATGCCCCAAATCTATCAATAAGAGGCCCAAGACCTGGCACTAGCACCAGCCTGCCCTCCTTCACAGCTGGGCCTCACCTGGGCACTTCCAAGCCCAATACAAGTAGTAGCCATCTACAAATCACTTTGTAGCTCCTTCCAGGTAGCTCCAGGCAGTGGCTAACTTTGTACCTCCCAGGAAGCACCCAGTGGACAGCTTCAGATCATATCAGACTACAACTCTACATATCCACAAGCGACACACTCAAGGGGAAGACTCAGTGAGCACCAAAGCCCTCCTGAAGCAAGTCCTGCTCCTTAGGGGTATCTCCTGCACAGCAGCTCTTCCACTGAAGCTGGTCCTCACAGCCAATTGGCCAGGAGGTCAATTCCTCCCAGTGACACCAACAGCAATCAAGGTTCATATACAACAAGACTGTGTACACAGTCCATACAGGGGTGCACCTAGTGAGCCCAGCTCAGGTGACTGGGGAGGCTGAGCCACTGGGCCCCATTGGACACCCACTACACAAGGCCACTCTACCAATTCCAGGAGACATAGCAGCTCTACCTAATACATAGAGACAAACACAGGGAAGCAGCCTAAATGCGGAGACAAAGAAACATGTCACAAATGAAAGAAATGGAAGCAAGCAAACTACTGAATACAGAGTTCAAAACAATGGTTATAAGGATGCTTAAGGATTTTTT